CCCCCCCCCCCCTCCCCCCCGAAGAAAGAAACCCTAAACCCTAAGCCATCGGCTTCGGGTTCGGGCTTTTTGGGGAGGCTCCTTCTCTCCCTGTACCGCCGCCCCGGGCACAGATGCAGCAGGCGGCCGGTAGGGCAGGGCATCGTCATGGTGAGTAAGGTAGGGGCCTTACTAATAGAATAGGGTTTTGGGGCCCATTATGCTAAAATTAATACTATTTTGGGGGGGTTCTTTATATTGTAATCATGGTATAGTATACCCCAAAACCCCATTCTGATAATTAAGGCTCCTGCATTATCCTCATTGCTATCAAAAATGGTAATGTTGGCCAACATCAGCATTGCCATGCAAATGCCATCATCGTCACAGTCTGAGTCTTCATGTACGCCATGAAGTCCTTTGTCAGCAGCTTACTTCATGTTCATCTCCATTCCAGATTCAGATTCTTGTTTCGGCATCGCGCACACCGTCTTCATCATCACAGCTATCGAGATGTCCGCTGATTACTTCTGAGGTTGTGGCGGAACATGGTCTACGTCAGTTATGCAATGAGTCTGACACTAATTACCAATGAATCTGTAGTCCCTTTCTGCTTGTCGACATGTTGAGTACTGGATAAATCGTTTCTCGTCATGTTGGTACACTTGCTGATGTTTGTTCTCATGTGCATTCGTGGCCTTCTCCCTGCCTGTACAGATGCCTGTGCTCTTTATTACGATTTTGCTGAACATGCTTGCCGCTTTTAGCGTGATTTTCCCTTGCGCTGTAGTGAGACTCTCTGACTTTCTATCGTTCTTTGCTTCGAGCTGTGCAGCTCAGAAAGCCTTTCGACCTGATGGCACCTTGTCGGCACCCTCGCAGCATCCGAGAACTCCGAGAACCCTGTAAACCCGAAACCCTACATGACGGGTCAGGGATGGGAGTTGGCCACCCGACCGCCAGCGGCTTCCTTCATCCCCCAAGTCCCTTGGCTCTGGATGGTTGGGCTTGTTCTTGTTCTTGTTTCTGTTAACTTTGCTTTCTTGGGGTGAGGGATCAGGGCTGGAGTGCATATCGTGAGGCTTGCGGGCGTCTAGGCACGGACCCAGCTTCTTTGTCGGAACTGTTTTGAATGATTGCAGATAAGATGGATGTTTCAAAACAGGGGCTTCCTCTACTCGCCCAAGTGGTAGTCGAATAAAGTGTAATGAATTCAAGATGACAATCAACCGTGACTTCTGAGCTGCTGGCCGCAGGCGCAGCAGTGAGAGTAACATAGCGGCCTTTGGGTTATATTTTGCTGTAGTTATAAGAAGGAACGCAACCATTATAGTATTGCTAGTTATTTAGGCCCCTGTAGTATGGGATCACTCGCTGGTTGCATCTGTCTTCTGCTTCCACAGCATTCCACAGCGATCCAGGCTTGATGTCATGCGGGACCGCTGCAGAAATCACATTAGGAGCTCGTTTCTTGAAGTCCTTCTTTATCTAGGGTCCGTGGATTATAAAGCCTGTTCATCCGCAGAGGAAGCAATCATGACTCTGCCGTTTCAAGGGCTCAGCAGCACTGTGACTATGATCTTTACAAGTGCCATTCTGCAAAGAGCTAGTGACCGCTAGTGTTCTTCTACTCATCATTGACAGAGAAAGAAACTACTGCAAATGCTACTGCTACTGTGACAGGAAGCATTGTAATACTAGTACTCGGGAACTTTCTGGGCTTCTTTTGTGGAAGTGCTGGTGTTAGCTATTCGTTTTCAGGTACGCGCTGTTTGACAAATCTCATCCCCAGTCTTGAGTTCCACAGCTCCGCTGAATAAAGCTTTGAAAAGAAAGCTACTGTACTAGCTTCTGCTCAAGGATTCCGGAGTCTTTACGGCTGAGGGTCGACAGCTTCTGCTCTAGTTAGGGTTCTGTCAAGCCTCAAGTTGAGTGTTTCAGGGTTTGCGCTTAGGGTGTGGTTCAGAGCTGCAAAACTTCATTCTTTACAAGCTTCTACTTCAGGGTCTGTTGAGCTCAAAGCTTCTACTGCAATTCTTAACGAATCGATTCTACTTGGGGCTCCAGAGTACCCATATCATTCGCCTCGAGGTTGAGCTTTTGCAGTCTTCTGCCTTGGCCCAGGCTTGCAACATCTTGTGTACATATTTTGGTTCCAGAGACCCGCAAAAGATAAAGATAGCCACACAAGCCTCTTCATCGCGGCCTTCCGCCAAGGAGAAAGACATGGGCCAGCCAAAGGCAGGAACCTTTGGCTTGATAACAGGGTTTGATCCGTTTTTGTAGGTCTGCACGGGTAGGCAAGGCCAATCCGAAACTGCTAGAGACACACGCTACGGACTTTTTTTTGGGAAGAAGCCCATGTTAAGAGATGCCCATGTAGTCATGATAAGAGTAGCATCGAGAACAGCAGAACCAGGTCTCGTTGCTGTAGTAATTGGCCGTGTCGTCGCTGTAGGTCAAAGTTGCGCAACCCCGTGACGGAAAGCCGTGCAGGAGCATCAGAGTAGTAGCAAGAGTAGCAGAAGTGGCAATAGCAGCGGTAGCAGTATCAGCAGCAGCGGCAGCAAGTAGTAGTAGAAGTAGTAGTTATTATTGTTGTTGTGGGTAGTAGTAGTAGTAGTAGTAGTAGTAGTAGTAGTGGTAGTAGTAGTAGTAGTAGTTGTTGTTGTTGTTGTTGTCGTCTTCGTCTTAGTAGTAGTGACTGCAGTCGCAGTCGTACGGTCGCACTGGCACTGGTAGTGGGACTGGTAGCAGCGGCCGCAGGCAGTGCTGGTCGTGGTTTGTAGTAGGGTTGCGTTTGTCTTCTGGCCCTAAACCCTAAACCCTAAACCCTAAACCCTTACCTGTAGTGACCGTAGCGGGTCGTGGCTTCGCCGATTCGCTCGTCGGAGGTTCCCGCTCCGCCACCACCTGTGCCTCCACCACAGGCACGGCAAGAGCCCGGCCAGATTATGAAAGTCGCTTGCAAGATGACGAGGACAGGAAAAAAACAAGAATATAATAATAATAATAATAATAGTAATAATAATAATAATTATTATTATAATGATAGTAATAGTAATAGTAATAATAACAATAATAATAATAATATCAGAGAATCATTTTCCTGTTGCGTTGCTCGTATTTCTATCTGCGCTGTTCTAATAAGCGTTGCTAGCGCGAACAACCTGCTCCATGATGGTGTTCCCACATGATGAGGTGGAGTAGTCGAGGAAGAGACATGTCTCGTATCTGCATGTCATGACTGCGGTGAGTCTTGGCAAATGTTTTCGTTTAGCTGTTGCTCAAGATTGTTTCGCTTGGAAGGTTTTGGAGTTTTGTTGGATTTTGGAATGAGATGATTCAGGGTCATGGAGGATCGCGGACCTAATGAGCTGACTCCCGCACCCAGGGGGCCTTCAGAATTAGAGTAAGTCTTCAAGGGTCATATTATGCTATACTTTTAAACGAACTCAGGGTCCTAAGCACACGATTGCTATCTTTTATTATGTTGTTTCATGTTATAATATACTATACCAGATCATAGAAGAACATATGACATTTTATTCGACCGTTAGATTGTACTGTATTGTACAGTAAATAGAATATTATTGTTATTGTTGTTATTATTGTTATTCTTATCATATATGGTTACATTCGTTTTCATATCATATATCATACTATATCAACTTATGTCATATTGTATTAGCTATGATGTATTGATATAACATAAAGAAACTATTTTGGTATTTTGTATTGTATTGCATTGTGCTTGTGTATCATACTGTATTATATTGGAACTCCTCCTCCTACATATTATTTTCTTTTATATTCTATGCGCTTCTGTTCTTTTTCTTTATCCTACTCTGTTCCACTATTATACTATACTATACTGTACTATACTATACTATACTATACTATACTATACTATACAAAGCTTTACTACATTTCCTACTCTATATTATACTATACCAAACCATACCATACTGTATTGTACTTTTCTATACTTTACTGTACTATACTACACCATAATAGATTTTCTATTCTATACTATACTATGCTATACTATACTGCACTACATACATTCTTTAAGTTTTGTTTATGACAATTTTCACTTTATGTTTTTTCATGGTACATCTTTTTGCTATGTTGTAATATATTACATTATATATAACTTAAGCAAAATTAGATTATATTATATTGTTACATAGTGTATTATCTTATATGATACTGTACTATGCCATACTATACTATACATTGTTGTACTAGACTACATTATCTATACTCAAGTCTTCAGCCAAGGTTAAACCGTAAACCCTTCCGCACGAGGCCCCGACGGCGTCTCTGAGCCGAATCAGGGCTGTGGCGGAGGCATTGCCCATGCCAGCTGGAGAAGAGGTGCCGAACCCGAAAATCCAGTGGATGACCGATTTCAGATGATTCCCTTCGGTTGCTGGTCTTGCTTCCTGATATCTTTGCTTTGCGACTGTCGTTTGGGAGCGGGGCGCTGAGGATGCAACGGGAGCTTTGCGTTTCAAGTAGGTCTGGCGTTATTGCAGAAGAGAGCCAACTGGCAAGATGCTGTTCAGCCCGATCAGCATCACCGCATCACCATTGCAATCGCCGTCGCCACTTAGCTTCATCGCCAGCCTCACCACCATCAGAATAACGATCACCACCAGCACCATCACTGGCTCCGTAAGCAACCATCAGAAGCATCGATGCCTATGGTTCCAAATCCGCGCTCTCAGCCCGGAGCCCCAAACCCCGATGCCTCACAAGTACTTCCCAAGATGAAAGAAGCTTTTCTGTCCCGGGGCTCTTCAGAGTCTTTCGACGAGGATCAAGGCATCCGAGGTTTCAGGTATCCAAGTATTTATTAGACATCATGGCTTGAGCTGTGAGTGCTTTTTCGCAGGTGCTTCTACTTGATGTTGTGCCATCCAGTGCGCTGTTGGTTGAGGCTCGCCTGTGTAGCCGCTTCGCAGCCGAAGCTAAGCGCCCGCAATTGCGGCGATCATGGCTTTCGTACGGCTTATTCTGGAGCTAAGAGGTTTCTATGTTCGATTTGCAGCACCGCCACCTCTGGACTACGGAAGATGATTTCAGTGTGACTGGCACGTGTTTCGACTCCTGCGCGCGCTGGGTCTGGGAATTCAGAATGATCCGCTTCAGTGGTTGATAAGATTTGATTAGACTGTCATAATTTATTATATTACATGTTATGTTCTACTATTTTATAGTACATTATGTTGTATCATCTCAGGTCATATTGTATCATCTATATATATATATATGTTATATTATGTTATATTATATCCTTTTCATGAAAGCATAATATAAGAATATCATAGCGTATCATGTTATGTTAGACCATAGCATAATGTGTTTTTATCGTAAGAAATGATAAGGTAGATGACCAAGTCTATGTGCAGTTTCCGAATGGTAACAGAGCCTGGCTAAATCCTGGAGATGTGGCTGGGCAGGCGTGCAGTGGGCAGGGGAGCTTGAAGGTCTCGTCTGGGACTGGTAGGCGTGTCGTCAACAGGACTTCTCGGCTTATCGCGCTCGGCAAGATGTCTCGCGGCCTCTGACATGGTCGACAGACGAGGTGCCGAAGAGGGAAGGAGGGGAACAGTCTGTACTTTAGTGGTTCGCTTGCATGGCATC